ACGATTGCTCTAAGTCAGCCTTGCTCACACTTCTAGCCCTGTAAGTAAGAGAACACTCACACAAACTCACTCACAAGAGATGCTAGAAGAGAACTCTTTAATAATGAGAGAACTTTACAATTCTTCGATGGTTTGGCCAAATAAAGGCCTCTTCCACAATCAACGGTGGAGATTAGTTAACTCCAAACTACCACCTACCAACTACCATCTACCAACTACCGTATTCATTACAAGATTCTAGCATATACAAGAGTATTCCAAAAGGTTCTAGAATGTCGGGGTGACACACACACCAAGTGTTTGATGAAATGCTTGAGAAGCGTCACAATAAGCACAAATAAGGTGAGTTAAAAGAGTAGAACTTATGTTCGAAATGGGGAATGCATATCGTGCATTATAGTAATAACTAGCCCTGATCCAATCAGTTTGCCCTATTGCAGGGCACAATTTTAGAGAGAGAAAAATAAAGAATACAAAAACCATGATAATCTTGGACCTTATTTGCGATGCTTGTTATCTAATAGTTCTTTTGTTATATATATATATATTAAGTTATTGTCAAATGGTAAAATGGAAAGTCATGGTCTTTATGTAGGCTAGATTCTTTAAGACTAGTTACAATAAATTCTACAGGGGAATTATTATGAAATTTCTAGCCCCATATAAAGACTTTGACTTGGTTAATTGGCTATAGTTGATGTAATTATCATATCTGCCCCCGTAACGTCTTGACTATATTATAAAAACTTACGAACCCAATAAAGTAAAAACTTACAAACCTAATAAAGTCGATCAAGTGTCTATGATCAAAGACCAATCCGATGTGTGACCCAGCCAAGGGGCTGAGTCTTACGTCAAGCAGTTAAACCGATTTGGCCGATGGGTCAGACTGGTGACATCATTATGATCACATCATCATGATGAAGTCAACATGATGTAAAAAACCTAATATTTAAAAATTCCAAAAATATGCAATGTTGTAAAATCTTGTGCCGCTGTTTCTCATTTTCTTCTTCTTTCCTACTTCAGTCTCAAACCCATTTCTTAAAACCATCGTTTTATCTAATTATCTCTGCTCCTTCTCTTTTGCCACCATGGCGGCCCCAAATCATCGCAAACCCAAAGATGAAGACTATCTGAAGAACGTCATACCTAAACGAATTAGTCTTTTCCAATCTATTTAGTCACAACAACAAGCCCACATTTAACCCTAACAACTGAAACCACAATCATCATTTTTCAATACAATTCCTTTAAAAAGCCAGTATAATATACCATCAACCAAATCTCAGCTTTCTTATATCAAGCCCTTGCTCCAAGAAACCATTACTTAATTAGTCTAGCTATCCCTGTCAAATAATCTTAATTTGAAAAATTGTTGGTAACAAGGGACAAGTCGTCAATTCGATAAGCATAATTATACACAACATGCAATACTTTCAAAATCCTTTTTGTGCAACACAGTAAGGGAATGAACAAAGGACATATCATAGCATGGAATATTATTTTAAGAACTTTGATAAATCTAAACCATACATTAAACATTCAAAATTACACGGATTATCAAATCATTTAACTTTAATAAAAAAAAAACTATGCAAATAGACATTTATAGAACACTTTGAAAAGAGTGTCAAGTCATTTTCTTTAATGGAACATTTCGAAAGGAGTACTACTACACGGACTCACAACCTCTTCTCACAAACTTTCTCTTACAACCCGACGTGGCAACTCGTAATTGGCCAACTCGTAATGGGACCCACCTGATAAATTATGGCTGACTAATTGTGAACTGCTACGTCGGGGTTGTGAGAGAAAGTTTGTGAGAAAATGTTGAGAGTGTAGTTTTACTCGAAAGAAAGTTCTCTAGCAACTCTTGCAAAAATTCACAAGAGTTTTCCATAAGTCTTATTTTATGTAAATAGAACCTTCAAAAACTCCTTTCTCAAAACCATAGGGAAGAGCTCGCAAAACATTTTCATAATTCATACTCATATCTGCAAACATAATATTTTTAATGTTTTCATAAAATCAAACATAAGGATTTCATGAAACATTTTCGTTTCATATCTCATTTTCAGTAAGCAAATATTTTATAATATCAGTTTCAAAAATCATGCAGAAGGGCTCATGTCTAATAGTATTACTTGTACCCCCGATAACCTGGACATTCAAATGTTACCTTTATTGAGCATTTCAGCAAGTTGCCAAGATGGTTAATTTAAGGAGGAATATTGAGCAGTTCAACAAGCTACTGGGAAGTCTAGATTTGAGAATGTTGAGCAAAAGTCTAGAGTCTAGTTTTAGCTTGTATGCTGTTAGCATTGTTTGTTAAATTAGTTCAGTGGGTTAAACTATTAAGAATCACAGTTTAAGCAATACGATGCGTTTCATGTTTGTGTTTTGTAAATAAGCAATGTGATGCGTTTTATTTTTCAGCTAAAAACTCAACTATAAAACCAGCAGCCTTGTATTCAAAATGCAATTAATGAGAAATTCTTCCTCTTTTCTATTTGCTCTACTTTTGTCATTTTTCTTTGATCTATTTAAGCTTTGATTCTACAATTTTCCCTTGAAGGTATATTAAGAGGAGATCAGAATTTTATCCTTTAAAGATATGCTGGTGTAGACTAGGCTATTGATGTTAGTGATATAAAATCAACTAGGGACATAATATTTTCCTTGGTGGGAATATGGTACTATGAAGTTCTAGGAAATAGAAAGTTGTTTCTTCATCCTCAATAGAGGCTAAGTATAATCTCTACGTCAAGCTTAGCTAGTTTGGATCCAACATTTGTTTCAAGAGCTTGGAATTGAAGTTAATGGCACTCTTGTCTTGTGGTGTGATAACATGAGTGTTGGAGCTTTGTCTTCTAATGCTGTTTCTCATTGAAGAACTAAGCACATCGAAATAAATGTGCATTATGTCAAAGAATTTAGTTGTTGAGAAAAGGATGAGTGTTCAATATGCATCTACTCATTACCAAATAGCTGACATCTTAACAAAAGCTCTTCTTGGAAATAGATTTCAACAACTCAGAAATAAGTTGAATGTCACATCATCACTAACTAGATTGTAGGGGAATGTTGAACAAACTCATAATGAAAAGTAGGTTACCAAGTTGAAAGTTTGAGGTGGAATATTGAGCAATTCAATTCAGTAGGATTGCCAAGATGTTCAGTTTGAGGTGGAATGTTAAGTAGAGAAGCAAATAATTCAACTTTAGGTTTCTAGTAAATCAGTTTGTAAAAGTTTGGAACTCAGTTTAGCGAGTTAAGTTTGTTAAATGAAGTTTAGTGATATGACGCACTAATGCATTGCGTTTTGTACACTTCAACTACAATCTATTAGCTATAAAACCATCAGTCATGCCATTCAAACCCAGTTAATGAAAAATTAGTTTACTCTTCAATTTATTATGTTTTTCTTTAATCTTTTGATTATGGAACTTTCTTTGAAAGTCTTACAGCCATGACTGGTGTGTTGGGCTCACCAACAATGAATACAGGTGATCGGTTCTAGATACCGTACATTTTTTGAAGGAATTGGAACCAGAATTGGTTGATTCTAATTCCTAGAAACCTGGAACCGAAACCTAAAACATAGGTTCCGGTTTCGGTTTCGAGTACCCAGGTTAATTTTAATTACCCTTTTTTTTAAAGAATTACAATACACCCCAATAGTTTACAAAAATTATAATTTAGTCTCGCTTCTTACTTGGGTACTTGGACCTTGGTTCTGCTTCTAGTTCCCAGTTCTAGCACTATAGGAACTGAAATCGGACCTAGGAATTCCTGATTTCAATTTTCCATAATAGTAACCGGACCCTAATGGAGCTAGTTCCAGTTCCGATTCTACTCTTTACCCATGTTCACCTGTAGTGATGAATGTGTAGAGGTAGAGGTACCTAATAGGGATGTGTAAGACTGTGACCCAGGGTAAGGTTAAGTTTAGGGTTTCTTATTTTCATTTCTTGAAATTTTTATATAGAATCATTAATCATCATAATTAAAAAAAGTTTAGGGCATTTACTCTTTTACTCTCCATTATATTAAAGCTAACTAAACTACATTAATGGTAGGGGTTTAGAGTTCAAATCATACCACTTGGGACATACCAAAATTGGATAATTACTTTAAACAAAAAATATTATGTTTTAAGCTCAAGGAGTGAAAGCATAGGAAGTCCTGAAACATTAAGATCATAGCATTTGGTTTGGGGAATTTTTTATTACTGAAAAGATAGGATTACCACTTAGATAAATTATCTTGAAGATTAATGGGGAATGTTATATTAATATGTTTTGTTAGATTGGTGAGTATAAATAATTAATATGTTTGGTTGGGAGCAATAAAATATTATCGGAGGGGTTTTTACTAAATTGCCCTTCATTTTTAATAAAATTATTATATTATTATTTAGAGTATTACTTTTAATTCCCTACATTTGAGAATTTAGCTAAAACACCATAACAACAAAAGTTTAAAATTAACAAAATACCCTCAACCACCCAAGATGACTGCTAGCTGCTAGCCACTAGCTACTAGGGGTGTTCGGTTCCGGGTACCCTACACTTTTGGAAGGAACCGGAACCGGAACCGATGGTTCCTTGACTTTTGGAACCGGAACCAGAACTGACGGTTCCGGTTCCTTGAATTTTGGAATCGGAACCAGAATCAACGGTTTCGATTCCAGTTCTGGGTACCCTATAAAATTCATTATCCAGTTTTTAAAATGACAAAAAAACTCTTAAAAACTTACAAATACCCCCCACTTGGCACTTATTAACAAAATTAAAATTATAAATTTCATATTTCAAACTCCAAAATTAAAATAATCCATTGAAAATCACAAATTCAAAATTAAAATATTACAATAATCCGTTGAAAATCACAAATTCAAAATTATAAACTCCAAAACTAAAACGATGAAATTACATAACATATAAAATTAGTAACATAACAATTAACAACATCCAAATATGAAAAACTAACAAATCTCATGCTCCATGCTCTAAATTGCTCGCCTCATTTGCATTAATTTCTACAAAACAAGTACAAGAAAATTAATTAGTAAGTTCAAAATATTGAACAAAATAATTTGGGAATAAATTAACTAAATATGAATATAAAAGATTAATATTATTTTGTTACCTGAGTTATAACTTTCTGCATCCATCAAGTAATCCTCAAAAGTAGTTGGGGTATATGCATATCTCAACCAATCTTGTGCACAAACTAATGCTTCCACAATGGGTGTACTTAAAGAACTCCGAAAGTGATAGAGTACATGACTCGATGTATTGAAAGCTGACTCAGAAGCAACTGTAGATATCGGAATAGCAAACACATCTCTTGCCATATACGAGAGAACCTTATACGTTGCAGCATTTGCTTTCCACCAATCTAGTATGTTCAAGTTGGACTTCATAGGTAGACATTTCTCCTCGAGGTAAATGTCTAACTCTGATTTGGTCATATCATGAATCTCTACCTCCATCTCCTCCTCATATTCGTCTAAGGAGGGGTCGTACGCAATCTCATCACAACTCACACCAGTAACTAAAGACTGGCCAATTCTGGTAATTTGGGAAGAACAAGAAGTTTGGCTTTCTTGGAAACCTGATACAACCCCCACATAGAAATCATACAACCGTTGTAACAAATCTCTTAACTTTCTAGACATCAACCCAACCTTTTGCAAATCATTGCCATAAATCTTTTTGTACCCCCACTCCACATATTTTATTTTAAACCGAGGATCTAAAACCGCTGCAATCAATACCATCATGTTCGATCTATCAACACTTCCATAATACTTATCAAACTTCTCTTTCATTTTCTTTGACATGTTAAGTATTGGATTTGTGTCTTTCTCCCAGTCATTCAAGCACAATACCAACTGTCTCTTGAAAGTAAGTATTAGAAGTCACATAGTTCGACCCTGACATTTTTTTTGTAGCTTCATAATTTTTTTTTGAGGAATTTAGCAAATACATTTGCTTTTTCCCAATCTTCGTTAGAAGGTGTATCATGTGACAAATCCGTAATATAGTTGGGATCCTCATCTTCCAACCTCTGAAAAGCTTTCTTGAATTTTACTGCAACATCTAACATCAAATAGGTGGAATTCCATCTAGTAGCAACATCAAGACACACACCACCTTTATAAGCAATCATTTCTTCTTTCACACATCTCTGAAACGTTTCGGCTCTAGCAGGGGAACTCTTCACATACTTAATCGAATTACGAATTCGGCTAATACAATCTTTTGTCTCACTAAGACCATCCTTCACGATCAAATTCATAATATGAGCAGTACATCTCATATGGAAGAACTCACCATCCAGAAGTAGTGCTAATTTGCTCCTCAAGTAAGCGATTGCCACGTCCTTAGCACTAGCATTATCCACGGTTATAGTAGACACTTTATCTTTAATACCCCAATAAAAAATGCACTTCTCAACCACTTTGCCTATCTCCTTTCCCTTGTGACTACTAATAGGCACAAAACTGAGAATTCTTTTATGTAAAACCCAATTCTCATCAATGTAGTGACCAGTGAGACATAAGTAGTTAATATTCTAAATCGAAGTCCATATATCGGTAGTCAAAGCAATCCTAGACTTTAGAGAGTACAACTTACTTTTTAGTAAAACCTTCTCATAATCAAAACGTTTCACAACATCCCTAGTGAATGTAATGCGAGAAATATTTGACCACAAATGTTGCAATGAATTTAGAAATCTCCTAAACGGTGGCTGCTCCACCATTCAAAAAGGTTCTTCCATAATAATAATCATTTTAGCAATCTAGACACCTCTTGATTGAATGTCCATGTGTTAATCGTACTACTATCCTATCCTTCTTCGTTTATGGTCTTGAAAGATGATAAAAGTGTTTGGCTTCTATCTACATTGCTTGGACATTTCTTACAATTGGATAAATGCTTACGCATAGAAGAAGTTCCATTCATCGAATTATACACCAATATCTTTCCACAATACGAACACTTCGTTTGGTCTGCTATGCCGGTTCTCTCATTGAAAATTTTCTCAACGTGTTGCCACATGTCAGATTGCTTATGTTGAACATGCACATTTGAGATAGACTCTCTAATAGTATTAGGCATATCCTCCCTAATATCAACATTCTCTCTATTAATTGACATTGTTCCTACAAAAAATTTGCCAAGTTCAACTTCAAAAGAATTTAGAATACATATAATGTTTAATAAACATAGTGTTTATGTGATATTATGCCATCAATAAATAAAAATCTGATTTAGTGTTTAGCATCTCATTTTCTTCGACTTCATTGAATCTTTAAACCTATAGTCACTGATAAGAGTGTAATTTATATATCTTTATTCCTTCTATACTATGTTTTTGTTATGTTTTATGCCTAGTTGAGCTGATTAGAGTTTATTTTGTAAGTTTGGCATATTTGGATAGACTTTAGGAAATAATTGAGAAAAGATTAGGAAATTCCAGATTTTCCAGATTTTTCGTTATAATGACTAGTGCTTCGTTTTTCAGGTTTTTCATGGAGTCAGATTTCTCGATTGCAAAAGTGTCCTTCAGAAGAAGTAAAGTAGATGAATCAAGCTTTCCAGGAAGGTATTATGGGAGAAAATCCGAGTTCGTTTCCTAGTCGCAGAAGAATTCCTTAGTTGAGTATTGAATCTTCGAACGGGCTATCGAGCCCATAAAAGATCTTTTACATTGCGAGAATCCTGGTGCCAACTGGAGACGAATTCTGGAATCCATATCTGATAAGATTTTGTCAAATCTGGAAGTCTATTTTTTAGGAAACGTCTAGGAAAGATTTTCCGTGATTCCTGGGGTAGAATTAGGAGAAAAAAAATGTTATTTATAGAGGATTTGTTAGGTTAAACAGAGGAGGGCAGTAGAGTTTTTCTTTTAGTTTTTTTTTTTTTTTTGTGCTTTCTACATCAAGATGTGCAGCTAATTTCCTTCTTCAGTTCAAGGGGATTTTGAAGCCTAATTTCATGTCATTGGTGTAACTTAACTTCAGTAACGTTGTTCTCAATCTTGTTTTTATTAGAATTGTTTATGTTATTTTGAGTTAATTGTCTGTGCTTCTTGTTTGAGTGATTTAGTTTTGGCCTGCTAAATTGTTTAATCAGAATTTACCTGTTAGAATTAGGAATTGTGATACGTAATCGTCCTTTTTCTATTCAACGAGTGACGCATGATGATAGCTGATTATGGACAAGTTTTCGGTCTATTGTCTTGAATAACATAACTTAAGTTAAATAATCTGAGCTTGCGTGATTGTTGCTTAGATTGATCTATTCTCCTAATTCTTAAGGCTACCATTGAATTAAATTTAGAGAGCTTGTTCTAGGTTGATCAAGGGTTAGTATCTACTCGAAGAGCTTGTTTCAGTAGTGACAAACTAAGGGAGAATTCGGGTAACAGAGCTTGTTGTTTCCTAGGGTCAGTAGTTCCATAATGACAAGATAGAACAGTGTTACAGTTACTTTATGTCCAATGCATGTTTAGGTGGATATTGAACCGAGAACTGATTTTTTTTAATTGAATATTTTCTACCATTAGCGATTGATTTGTTTTACTTTAGATTGCATTGAGTACACCCCCCTTTCATTACTGTTGTCAGGTTTACCGTTTAGAGTTTAATTTGCGTTTCTGTTGTTTTTATTGTTTTAGAACATAGAAACTAATCGAACCATTCCCTATGGGATCAAACCTTGTTTACCCTATATACAATTCAGTAGTTAGGTTAGGAAGGTTTTTAATTTGAAGCATTCGGCACGCTACCAATCACCATCATTTATAAACTCAAGAATTGTAGACATGCATGCACCCCACCAATACCTTAAAATTTGAACCAACCCACCTTAGAAAAACAATCCAGAAAGCAAACCGGGACAGAATATAAGCAATCAAAACTCAAAAGGGGAATCCAAAAATAAAAAGAGCATATATACTAACAAAAAGAAGCATCGAATGAAATGTTTAGATTTGAAATGGAATAAAGAATGTAACTTTGCAGTAAAGAAATGGAGAAGATAAGAATAACAGGAAATAAAATGGACCCACAAACAAGAGCTAATTAAGTAATTATATAAAGCCAAGATTTTTTTCATGGGATTTTTTGTTTTTATATTTTGGTTTAGCTAAAATAAGAAACTGTTGAGGGAGTTACAATAAAAGAGATTAATTATGATAAAAAGATATGAAAGCTAAACAATGGGTCTTCCAGCAAGACTTTGTCACAAACTGATCTAATATTTCTCACTAGAACTCAACTGTGTCTAAACAAAAATCTGCCACCCATCTTACAAACTCTGCATGAAAGACAAGTATCTCTTTCTACTCTTCTCCTTCTTTCTTTATAAAAACCTACCACTTTTGCATTTCCAGTACACTAAACACAATCTCATCATCATCAAAATTAAACTGCTAAGCTATGAGTATACAATCTTGTTAATGGTAGCATGTTCAATGCCAGAATGTTAAAAAAAAAAAAAAAAGGAAAGCACCTTTCCTCCAAAATCCAAGCAGAGTATACAATCCTGTTAATGGCAAATTGCATAGCCATTAACAAACTCCATCCAAATATGTGCTATCAAACACACCCAAAAAATCCAAATAACTGAAATAAGCATTCAAAATCTCTATAAAAGTTAGTGCGTAAGTTATACACTGTAGTGCAACATGTGAAAGTTCATAAGACAAATTTCTCTGTTTCTAATCCAAATCCAAAATAAGTAGAATAAATTTTATATTAGTGTGGGAGACAACTCTACCGTTTTGTAAGAACTCGTCTCTTTAGTGTGTACAGCAGAAATAAAGTTGCTCTACAGCAGAAATGAACTCGTCTATTTAGTGTGTACAACAAAAATGAAGTTACTCTACAAAAAGAACAAACCTAGATCTGTAGTTACTCTACAGCAGAAATGAAGTTACTCTAGATCTGTAGATCAAGTTAAAATTCAAAAATAAAATTAAAAGAAAGAAATGGAAATTGCCTTAAGAAATTGGAGTGCTTTAGTGTCTTCTTCTAGATTCCAAGGATCACGATTTCACAAAACCAAGCATATTAAAGGAAAAAAAAAAGCTGAAGTTTTTGCCTTAATCTGAAGTGAGTAGACAGAGAGCAAGAGCATACGAAGATTGTGAGAAGGGAAGAAAGAAAATGAATTTTTTTGCAAAGAAAAAAAAGCTGAAGTTTTACCTTAATCTGAAATGAATGGACAGAGAGCAGCAAGAGCAGATGAAGATCGTGAGAAAGGAAGAAAGAAAATAATTTTTTTGCCCTAATCTAAAGTATTTATATTTGGCAGGTAAATTATATAACCCCCCTACTCTTTAATAACATTTCATTTTAGTACCGGTTCTCGGTTCCAGTTTCGGTTCTTGACTGTAGGAACCGGAACTGTATAGTTTCGGTTCTAGATTTTTGGAACCGGAACCTACCCGTTGACGATCGATTCTGGGTAGGAACCAAAACCAAACACCGGGTACCCAACGGTTCTGGTTCCGAACGGTTCTTTTGAACATCCCTACCAACTACCACCACCACCAACCAGCAGGATCTGATTGGTGGTGCATCGATCTGGCCATGGCCAGATCCATTCCAACCATTAACGGTCGTGGATTTGACCAGAAATGGCAAGATTTATTCAGGCTGCCATGGCTAGATCCATTCTAGCCAAAAACGGCAAAATCTATTCCACCCATCAACAACCATGGATCTAGCTAGATTTATTTTGACCATTAATGGCCAGATCTATAATCTTTTACAACCATGGATCTACCTGGAAATGGCTAGAAAAGATCTGGCCATTTCCGGCTAGATCTATAATCATCTAGCCATTTTCGGCCTTCGATTTGGTCGAAAATGGCCAGATCAATGCACAGCTAGCCAGATCCAATCGCTCGTGCACCATTCCGATGACAGTTGGTGGCAATCGATAGTCGGCAGTCGTCTTGGGTGGCTGGGGGTATTTTGGGTATTATTCATGTTGAAATTTTTAATTACTTACCAAGTGGATTAAACCTAAGCGGAATGGATTGCTAAGTTGATTTTAGTGTTCATTCATCACCATTACAATTAGTCAGTCATGAAACAAAATAAAGCACATCAGGTGATTCTAAATGGTTCGACAAAATGCCTACGCCCATGCACCAAGTCTAGATGAAGCTAATCTACTATGGTAAACATTTACAATTCAATTACAAAGCCAAAGTTAAGCCTCAATTGCAAGAACACACCCTATTTTGCAACTCTTTTAACTCCACCCTTTGGTCAAACGTCAAACTAATACAACAAGCTTCACGTTCACAAGACCACCAGGTCAGCCTTGAGAACCCCTTAAGGATCAATCATCGAAGACGTACTGTAGTTGAATTAGCTCGAAAAATCTTCAAGCAGCAACTACGAAACCAACGTAGAAGCAAGGACAAAAACAAAGTATTTGATGAAGGTATTTGTAAGCCTACCTAAACATATGAAACTTGATGTAAAATAAAATAAACCTTTTAGCATATGCATGTTACTTTCAAAGGAATTATTAGGCTTAAAACGAAACTGAATTGGAGAAGAGAATATACAGAAAATATCTGGCCAATGCAAGGGGATAGGTAGCCAACAAGATGCTTTATGATTTTACCTTTATGAAAAAGTTTATTCCAATTCTCTTGGGACCATCAAAAATTGTAAACAAACTTTCCAACACATTTCATGAATAAATGACAAGTGTCGTGGACCACAAACAATATCTCAAAAAAGAATAAAAAACGGGTCAATGGAATATTGAAATGTAATCCGTGTTATATAGAAATATCTGTCAGATGCGTGTGACCACTTAGACTCTGAAGTGCCCACACGATATAACAAAAAACCGACTTAATTGAAAGTGGTCACTTCGACAGAGAGTCGTCATACTGGAAATTTAAACAGAAATGATTGTGCTATATTCAAAGTGAAGTGTTCATACCATGACTAGTGTTACCACACTAGAATCATAAGTTGACAAATAACTTACACATGTAAATAGTGAGGGTAGTTCTCTAAAAAAAATTTAATATATGAGGTTACAAAAGTCATTTCGAGTATTTGAGCTAACTGTTATTTAGTAGCATATGAGGACATTTGTATCCAAAATGTTTATTAATTAAG